GAATGTGAACGGCTCCTGCGTGAAAACCCCCTACTCACCTGGGCCCCGGCTGCTTCTCTATGTGGTGTTTGGCTTAGGGGCTGTACTGGCTGTGTTAGGAAACCTCCTGGTCGTGACTTCCATCCTCCATTTCAAGCAGCTGCACTCACCAACCAATTTCCTCCTCGCCTCTCTGGCCTGCGCTGACTTCTTGGTGGGAGTCGCTGTGATGCCCTTCAGCATGGTCAGGTCGGTGGAGAGCTGCTGGTACTTCGGGAGGAGTTTCTGCACTTTCCACACATGCTGTGATGTGGCCTTCTGCTACTCTTCTCTCTTGCACCTGTGCTTCATCTCCGTGGACAGGTACATGGCTGTTACTGACCCCCTGGTCTACCCCACCAAGTTCACGGTGTCTGTGTCAGGCATTTGCATCGGTGTCTCCTGGATCTTGCCCATTATGTACTTTGGTGCCATGCTCTACACAGGTGTCAATGACGATGGGCTGGAGGAATTATCCAGTGCGCTCAACTGCATTGGAGGTTGTCAGCCCATTATAAATCAAGGCTGGGTTTTAGTAGATTTTCTGTTACTTGTCATACCTATCTGTGTTATAATAATTGTATACAGTAATATTTTTCTGGTAGCCAGAATGCAGGCTAAAAAGATTGAAAATGCTAGAGGCAAAAAAGGATCATCCTTAGGCTCTTACAAAACCAGGGTGGCCAAAAGAGAGAGAAAAGCAGCTAAAACCCTGGGTATCACAGTGGTGGCATTTTTAATCTCATGGTTACCATATACGATAGAGTCAGTAATTGATTCTTATATGGGCTTTATTACCCCTGCCTATATCTATGAGATTTGCTGTTGGTGTGCGTATTATAACTCAGCGATGAATCCTTTGATTTATGCTTTATTTTTTCCTTGGTTTAGGAAAGCCATACAACTCATTTTAAGCAGAGAATTTTTAAAGGGACATTCATCAGCCACAAGTTTTGGTTCAGAGTAAGTGTAAATACAAGTTGAGAAAATTAACAATATTTTCAGAATTAAGTATTTATAGTGAAATTAAGTAAGAAATAAATGCAACTCAAAATTGAGGAGGTATATTATTTTTCAAATTAGACAGCTTTAGGAGAGTAAACTGTTAAACCATTGTGAAGATACGTATTGCATTAAATAATAAATAGTGATGTTGTTTATATATGTCACTTGCCTGTACATTTTGTATACATCCTTGACACACCCACTAATTTCTTCTAATTTGCTGAATTCTGAATCTCTTTTTTGGGGGGGTAATGAAATCTCCAATGATCTTCTCTTTTGTATGCAATTGTCATTTATCTTCAAAGGGTATATTTTTTCCCTTTCTCTCCTCCAATACTGTACTGCCATAACAAAGTACCACAAACTGGGTGATCAAACTACAGAATTGCCTCACAGTTTTAGAGGCTAGAAATCCAAGATGTGAGTGTTACTGTGTTGGTTTCTTTTGAAAGAATCTCTCCTTGGCTTGCAGATGGCTGTTTTTAACTGCATGCTCACATTCTCTTCCTCTATGTGTCTATATCCTTGTCTTACCTTCATACACTGATATCAGTCATGCTGCATTAGTGCACACCCCAGATACCTCATTTAAATGTAATTATTTCTTTCAAGGTTGTTGCTCTGTGGGTTAGGACTTTAACATACCAATTTTGGGTGACACAAGTCAGCCCCTCTCAGACACATCCAGTTGTGATGACACTACCCAAGGATCCATTTATTTGCTACCCTTCTCTGACTATTCTTCCCTCTTCCTTCAATTCTTGCACCTCACAGGAGATTTGGGGACAGCAGATAAGCTGCTCCTGGTTAATAACTGGGAAGAATATTGGAGTGCTCACTCACAATGTTGTAGGACTAGTAGTTCAGCCTTGGGTCATGTAGTAAATACAGACACTGCCCAGAAATTTTGTAAGGGGAATAGTCTGCCACAAAAAGATTGGCATGATGATCACTCTACAGTCTGCAGTTGACTTTAATTATCTATCATAGTGTGTAATTCACTTCTGCAGCTTATCTCAGCAGTTTTTGTTACTTAAAAACAGTGTCAAATAGTCCCCTCTTAGTTTCAAAGGATACACCCCAAGACACCCAGTTGATGCCTGAAACTGAACCCTATTTCTCTTGTGTTATTTTCTGTACACAAAAACTTATGAGTTTAATTTATAAATTAATAACAATGACTAATAATAAGCTGCAATAATTATAGCTCTATAGTTTAATAAAATTTATGTGAATATGGTCTCTTTCTGTTTCAAAATACCTTATTTTACTGTGTTCACCTTTTCTTTTTCTTGCAATAATGTGAGATTATGCAGTGCCCATAGGATGAGATAAAGTAAGGTGATTGACTAAGCACTTCTCACTCACTGTGGCTGTAACTTTTGGAATCTGAAGTGCAACAGCAAAGTACCACAAATTTCTGTTTTCCTTCTTTACAATTTTACAGAAGATTTGCTCTTACCATAGATCTTACCTTGCTTAGCATGTGATTTTTTTCTTTCCTTATTAAACTGTATAATTTTCACCTTTTGGCTTAAAAGAAGCACTCCATGGCTTCTGTTTGGCATATGTGAATTGCCAGCATCACTACTCTTGAGCCTTGGAGCTATTATTAAGTAAAATAATGCTTACTTGAACACAAGCATTGTGAGACCACAACAGTACATCTTATAAACATGATGGCTGCTAAGTAGCAGGCAGGTGGCATGTACACCACATACTCAACTTAAAATTATGAATTTTTCTCTGGAATCCTTCATTTCATATTTTCTGACTGAAGTTCACAGCAGGTAAGTGAAATTGCAGAATGTGAAACCTGGGGAAAGAAGAATTATTGAATTTCACTTCCCTAGAATGCTGCAGGCCCCATAATCCTATGGCTGTATTTTTAAATGTATAGACAATGTATGCTATAATTTTACATTATCCCTTCTCTAATGTTGTTTACTGAAAAAAGTCATTTTTAAATTTGTATTTATAGTATTTTGTACAATGAAGCTAAATGGTGCTAAAGTCGTTGTGTATACACGTTATTATTCTTTTTTCTTGTGTTTTTCTGTGGAGTCACTGATTGATATTGTTGTAGTATTTTTCTCTCACTGATTTCCAAATAAGATTTTAATTTTTTTCTAACATATGACGAGCATAATAGTGAGTAAGCACCTATCTCAGAAATGGCTACGGGTTAGAAATGATTTATATATATAATTTTCTTTCAGGAAAATAATTTTGAGAATACCATGGGTGACACATTTTCAATTTTATTACTGAGGACTTGAAAAGTGTCAGGAATGCTGCCTCAGGAGCAGAGAAACAATGAACATTACATGGTTGAACTTCCTGCTACTCATTTCTCCCCCATCCTGCCACACCCCTGCCAGTCTAGTAAAAACCAGAAGATGGCCCTAAATTACTGAAATCTTGTGAGGCTGCCCTTATCGATATGGTGCCAGGCAAGCCCTGCTAATCATTTCTGTTCACTGTCTTCTCACTCACATGCTGCGTTATGATTTGAAGGGCTCAACACAGAGCTAAATTGGACTTTATTTTTGAGTGGGAAAGTTTTCTGGTGAGTCTTCAAGCGTGTATAAGTAAATAGGAGAGTAGAAACCTTTTTTGACAGAACTAATTTTCATAAATAGAGGATTGGGCTTAGAAAATTAGAAGGCAATGAATACATTAATGGCATGATAACAACCAATAAATATAGTCTCATGTTGTCACCCTGCTTGTACTCCAGCGGTCAACCTAACTGTGGCAAACTGGACAAAAAATATCAGGCTCCCTATCATTAGGGTAAAACCAGCTTTAGTTCCAATTACTAGCACCAGAATGTTTTTGCCTGAAGTCTTTTTCATATACAGTGGACCCTTGAGTTAAGACCAGCCTGACATATGAACAACTTGGGTTATGTCTGGAATTTTAGTTTTAACTTATGAACAAAGTCTTGAGTTATGACCTCAATGCTGGCCACTTGTGCATCCACATGGTCTCACATACAGATTTAACCCTTCAAGAGTTCTGGAAGGAACATTACAACATCCTTTCCTGTGTGGGGTTAATCGAGAAATCCTGGGTCATTGTCTCTAAGGACACTGAGATCTGCCTAGAAGAAAATGTGGCCTAAAATTTTACAGGAGAGAGACTTTGAAGGCTGTGTTGAGAGCCTGACTAACTTGACTTACAATCAGCCCTCTTGAAGGAATTGAGTTCATAAATCAAGGGTCTGCTGTATTACCAGTAAGAGAAACAAAATGCCAATTCTGAAAAATCACATAATAGGAATCTACTGGAAGATCTTTATAGGAAAATGCTTTTATTTTTGTAGCTATATTTAATCTACTTATTTGGATTTTTGCTGTCTCTCCTGGAGACTTTAAATTTTTACTTGACTGTGAAGGGTTTGCTTTTGAACTCTCACCAACTTCTGAATGTGTCAAGTGGCTCTTCTCACAACACTGCAGCTCCTCTAGAGTTCCAATTTTTAATCACATTCAATATATTTTCCAACACTGTGTATGATACTCAAGTGGTCCTCTTGCTTAGCAGGATTGACTGCATGAATTTGGAAAATCAATCTCTAAAGGCATGTTTTGAAAGTGTCTTAAATAAAACATCCTTATAAAATTCTTTGCCCCGTGTACATCAATAAACTACAAAGAAATATAGTAACATTTTTATTAAATCTTTTGTTTCAAAATTTACAACCCATTTTACATGATGGTCATTATTACTTTAAAACCTTAATGAGAATATTCCTTTATCATCTCCATTTTACAAGTAAATGAGACACCCAGGATCAGTGATTTAACCAAGTGAAAGCTAGTACGTGGTGAGATGGGATTTAACCTTAACAGTTTGATCTTGCATATTTGCTGTGGGCCTTTATTTTACAGACAGTCCTTGCAGATAAAGAGACTGTTTTCAAAGATAAACTTGCCAGGCACATAAACCTCTGAGATAATTGCTTCATGTATTCCAACTTCAAATAAGAAAGATTCATTATTAAGAAAGTTTACATGCTCTAACACTTTTTCTCATTAAATATATAGAAAGATTTTTTTTTTTTTTTTGGTACCAGGGATCAAACTCGGGCGGGACCTTGCGCTTGCGAGGTAGGTGCCGGAACCACTGAGCTAAATCCCCGGCCCAAATATAAAATTACATTAACCAAATCTTCTCAACAGGCTTTTAAAACTAGCTTTTTCTTGACTACTCATTATTAAAATGTTTGTATTTCAGAAAAACAAATGAGAGATAGACTTTTTTAAGTGTAGAAAACTAATAGATCATTATTTGATGGGTGAGAAGAAAGAAGAACTGATCATCCATTTGTTTAAAAAATACTTTCGGTAAGGCTGGTGTCCGTGCCGGACTCTGGGTGCCCCAGGGGCGCGGAGACTAGGGAAGGGGGAGGGAGG